GGGGGGGGGGGAAGAAAACGCTTATGGGCTGACTTTTTTTTTTTCTTGCTGTAACTGAGGCAAATGGAAAACTGGACTGTGACTTACGTGCATATTCTTGCCAAAGGAACTTCGTGGGCTGAGTTAATATTAACTTAGAAACTGCCTTGGGCAAAGTACTAATAGTGGCCAAAGGCCCTTCCCCCTGACCCTGTCCTTAGTAAGTACCACATTTGCAGTAAAGCCAATTTCCTCTACAGTGCCTGCTGCCACGTACTCCAGTCTGACCCTGAAAGTTTTAGAGGCCTGTTGGAAAGCCAGAATATTGTTGGAAAGTCTTTTGCCTATGAACGACTTCATAATTTTAAGGATGCATTCACTGCTCTATCAACTGCCTAATCTGAAGGACAACTCTATACCTGGATCTATACTAGATTCTACCAGATTCTGCCCTGGTAGAATAGACTAGAGCTGTTACTGACCTTTAAAACATATTTTGGTCACATGAAGTTTTACAAATTCACAACAACAAAAAAAGAACACGGTGCATTCTTAGCCTTGTTGGCTTATGACATTGTTTGGTCACTGTTAGGGAAAGTGACATAATAAACTGGAAGAACCATTGTTCAGTCCCAAAGGTGTGCTCAGTTAAGTATTTATGTATTTTGGCCATGTTAAAAGAAAAAATGTGATCATTAGCTTCAATATCTAAAATGTGCATGCAGCTTTTTGGAAGGTTGGAGTACATAATAAAAGTGACATATTTACAGAGTCTTGTGTTTTACGTAAAAACACAAAAAAAATACTGTGGCTTTTAAGGTCAAGTTTTTTTTTTTTTTTTTTTTTTTGGAAGGGCCTTTTTTTTTTTCTTTTTTTCTTTTTCCACCAATATTGGGGCTTGAACTCAGTTGAGGCCTGGGCACTGTCCTGAGATTCTTTTACTCAAAGCTGGCACTCTACCACTTGAGACACAGCTATGCTTCCAGCTTTTTTTGTAATTTATTAGAGATAAGAGTCTCAGACTTTCTTGCCCAGGCTAGCTACCCCAGGCAGGATATCAGATCTCAGCCTTCTGAGTAGCTAGGATTATAGACATGAGCCCAGCTAAGGTCATGTATTTTTATTTTTTATTTATATATTTTTTGGGGTCCGGTCGTGGGGCCTGAACTCTGGGCCTGGGCGCTGTCCCTCAGCTCTTCAGCTCAAGGCTAGCACTCTATCACTTGAGCCACAGCGCCACTTCCAGCTTTTTTCTTTTTGCTTATGTGGTGCTGAGGAATCGAACCCAGGGCCTCAGGCATGCAAGGCAAGCGCTCTACCACTGAGCCACCTTCCTAGCCCCAAGGTCAAGTATTTTTATAAAAACCTGAATTAATGAACCTCCTTTAAGCATTTGTTTGGTAAAGAACACTGAGTGTGCCTGTAATCTTAGCTACTCGAGGTTCAAAGCCAACCTAGGCAGGAAAGTCAATGAGACTGTATCTTAACCACCAGAAAACCAGAAGTGGAGCTTTGACTCAAGTGGTAGAGCACTAGCCTTGAGCTGAAGAGCTCAGGGACAGCGCCCAGGCTCAGAGCTCAAACCCTACAACCGACCAAATAAGCAAAAAACAACAAAAACCACTGAGTGTGACAAGCTCAATACATAGATGCAAATTTTAATTACTTCAATTACAGAACCACATACCAGGTCTTAAAATAATAGCTGATTTGAATACCTTCTGCTGTATTCATACCTTCATGACCCCAGCTTTTGATGTAGCAGTAATTAAGTAGCAGAATGTTAAATTACCAGTTTTCAAATCTGAAAATCTGTAAACTGAGTTTTTGTTTTCAGAAACTGACCATGGGAAGTTCTGTTTTATGGGTTAAAAGTAGAAACAGCTTTTTCTTACCTATTTTTATTTATTTTTGGTCCCTGTCCTGGGGCTTGAACTCAAGGCCTGGATACTGTCCCTGAGCTTTTTGCTCGACTAGTGTGTAAGGGGGGGGGGGGGCTGGGAAGGGAGGTGAAGGGTAAACAAAGGAGGAGGCTGCAATGCTTGGTAAGAAATGTATGCATTATCCTGCCCATGTAATTGTAACCCCTCTGTACAGTATGTTCTCAAATAAAATAAAATTTAAAAAAAAAAAAAAAAGACTAGTTGTAATCATTTGAGCCACAGCTCCACTTCCAGCTTTTGGGGGTCATAAATTGGAGATAAAGAGTGTCACACTTCTTGCAGGGCTGGCTTTGAATAGCTCAGATTTCAGCCTCCAGAGTAGCTAGGGTTAAAGGCATGAGCCACCACTACTGGCTCACACCTACCCTTTTTTTTTTGGTCAGTCATGGGGCTTGAACTCTGGGCCTGGGCACTGTCCCTCAGCATTTCAGCTCAAGGCTAGTGCTCTACCACTTGAGCTACAGGGCCCACTTCCGGCTTTTTCTGTTTATATAGTGCTGAGGAATAGAACTCAGGGCCTCTTGCATGTGAGGCAGCACTCTACCACTGAGCCAGCCCCTCACTTACCCATTTTGAAAGGAAATATCCACAAGTTGATATTTAAGCTCCTTATGGATTTAAGTCCATAAAGGCTGTGTCTTTATTTTATGTTCCCAATACTTACATACATTAAAGCTCAGTAGAGTTGATAGCTCATATATATATATAGATAGATATAGATATATCTGTACTGTATATATATATATGTACTATATACATATACAGTACGTGTGTGTGTGTGTGTGTGTGTGTGTGTGTGTGTGTGTATGTGTGTGTACTGGCTCTAGGCTTGACCTCAGGTCCTGGGTGCTGTCTCTGATTTTTTGTGCTCAAGGCTAGAGCTCTACTACTTGAGCCACAGCTGCACTTCCAGCTTTCTGGTAGTTAATGGGAAATAAGAGTCTCATAGACTCCTGCCTGGGCTGGCTATGAACCTCAATCTTCAGATCTCAGCCTCCTAAGTAGCTAGAATTAGAGATATTCTTATATCTCTAATATTTATTAGAGATAAATTATATCTCCTGGCTTATATTTAACAGTTAACTTATATTAAAAATAAATTTGGGAGTTTGAGCCACACCTCCACTTCTGGCTTTTTCAAGTTAACTGGAGATAAGAATCTCATAGATTTGTCTGCCTGGGATCTGCTGGACCTTGGTCCTCAGATCAAGATGCTTAGCACCTAGAATTATAGGTGTGAGCTACGAATGTCCAGCTCACTATGGTATATTAAGCCTTAATTTAGCCATAGTTGTATTAAACTAATGATGACTTCTTTGATGACTTCTTTCTTAATATAGCCAGTTTATTAAATTAAGTATAGCCTTAATAGAGCCAGTTTTATTAAACTAATGAAAAGTACTTGATGACTTTATTTCTTGGTGATACTTTCCTAAAAATAAACGAGGCACACCCTGCCTAGCTCTCCAGCTTAACCCCACATTCTTCCATTCTTCCATTTTCCTGAGTTTCAGCCTTCTTTCAGTTGTAGAATATACTAGCTTCTTTTCCAACTTGGGACTTTTGCCGAGATTCATCTGACTTAGAATACTGTTATTCCTCTCCCATCCTCTATACACACATACATTCACCCTATCCATCAGATTATTATCTATGGGGAAATTTTTTTTGAGTTTTGATTAGATAAGACTTAGTTTAACACTCATGACATCTTTTTTCATGACTTAACAGTTCGATGACTACCTCTCTAGATTACAAGTTCTCCAAGAAAGATACTAAGAAATGTGTGGGGTTTGTTTGGCTTTTGTTTAGAAAAAGTCTATCAAGGGCTGGGAATGTGGCTTAGTGGTAGAGTGCTTGCCTACCATGCATAAAGCCCTGGGTTTGATTCCTCAGTACCACAAAACAGAAAAAGCCAGAAGTGGCTCTGTGGCTCAAGTGGTAGAATGCTAGCCTTGAGCACAGAGAGGCTTACGGTTCAAGCCCTTAAGTTCAAGCCCCAGGACTGGGAAAATAAACAAACAACAACAACAAAAAAGAAGTCAAGTAGTAAAATAGACTGGATTACCCTAGAATTTGTTGGTTTTCCTGTCTCAGCTTCCCAAGTGAAAGGATTCCAGGCATGCACCACTATGCCTTGCTGTGCTTTATCATTCTACCCCTAGTTTGGAATAGGCTGAATAAATATCAAAGCAAAAATTTTTGTCTCAAGATTAAAAATATAATGTATCTAAAAAAACTTTTCATTGTCTTAATTAACTAATCCAATTCAGTGGGGTTTTCTAATTAAATTTTTTTTATTATAATAAAGATGGAATACAAAGGGGTTACAGTTACGTAAGTCAGGTAGAATACATTTCTTTTAGGACAATGTCACCCCTTCCTTTGCTCTCTTCCAGTTTTCCCCTCCCATCCCTACCCAAGTTCATTTTAAACATGTCTAGTGAGTACCACTACTGCATTTGTTCACCCTCTGTCCCTCCATTTGCAAGGCGTTCTTGTTTGCTTTTTTTGTGCAGGTTTTGGGGCTTGAACTCAGAGCCTAGGTGCTGTCTCTGAGCCTTTTGTTTTTGTTTTTTGGGTCCAGTCGTGGAGCCTGAACTCTCAGCCTGGGCGCTGTCCTTCAGCTCTTCAGCTCAAGGCTAGCACTCTATTACTTGAGCCACAGCGCCACTTCCGGCTTTTTTCTTTTTGCCTATGTGGTGCTGAGGAATCAAACCCAGGGCCTCAGGCATGCAAGGCAAGTGCTCTACCACTGAGCCACCTTCCCAGCCCTCTGAGCCTTTTTTGTTCAAAGCTAGTACTCTATCACTTGAGCCACAGCTCCACTTTTGGAGATGAGTCTCAAAGACTTTCCTGCCCAGGCTGGCTTTGAACTATGATTCTCAGATGTCAGTCTCTTGAGTAGCATGAGCCACCAGTACCTAGCTTCAATGTGTTCTTTGGAGCATATAGCTACTTTTGACCTCATAAATATTTTGTTTCAAACACTTGCTTCTTATTCCTAGCCTTTAATCAAAAGACAATTTAAGTCGGACAACAGAGAAGTACTGACAAACCACAATTCATACTGAAATGTCCCAATGTAAGTGTGATTTAATGTAAACACTATAAAATACAATAAAAAAGTAAAAATCCTCCTCCCTACCCTACAATCTTGAAGTGTTAAAACTGTGAACAAGATTTTTAAATTTCTGGCATTTAATAGTTGTAACAAGTCACAATGTCCTTTCCTCTCTCTGTTGGTTTTTGTTATATAATGTTGAGATACATTAAGATACATCGTTGTTGTCACAGAGGATTTTATAATAAAATATGATTAGAACTAGATTGCTAAAAACATTTTTACATTTACCTATTCTTCCTCATTAAAATAATGTTCCAATCTACATACATCCTATTCCTACTGGTCACCAAAATTTTATAATTTTACCTTTCAAGTTGAGTACATACACAACTAAACAGTTCATAAACATATAGAAACTGAGCACAAACAAGGCCCACAAGGTACTGCTGTGTAATGTATCCACCATAAGGTTGATGAGGCCAGTTGTCACATTTGATAGCAAGAAAAAAATTAACTGGTTTCTGTTCACAGCTGTGATTAAACAAAGACTGACTTCATTTTTCTCAGTTTCAGAAACTGGAGATTTGGATTGCTTCTTACTTGTAGGTGATTGGATAATCTTCCAAGAACATGATACTACAGCCCCTTTAACTAGAAATTTGGCAAAACTCAAAATGATATCACTCAATAATAAACAAACTAGAAGGATAAGGCTAGAAGCAAGTATCCATATACAAAAGGCTAAATTGGCCATTCTTCGAGATACTGCTTCTACATTTACTTGAACTATATAAAGAGATATGAAGAGGCTAATTCCTGACAACAGAAGACAACATGTTACTTTTATCCATTCTTTGATACATGTTCTGTTCTTAAGCACATATAACCCTGTCTGCACACCAGCCATATGTATTGCTACATACCCCAGAGTAGACATTATTCCTTCTCGGTTGGCATTGAACAAACCAACTCTTGTGCCTCTGCCATCAGTGCCATACAAAATTAACTTCTTAAGTGGAGTAAACTCAAGGAATACCTGGTATAACACAGTAATGCTGACAGCCACAATCCAGGATATATTTATCGGGAAAATAATGAGAAGCAGTGATGTTATCAATTTCACAACTATTATAGTAAAGAAAAAGTTCCAGTGAACGCCATACTCGGTTAAATGTTCCTGATAGCCTATGGATTTTATAATGACTAATCGTCCTATTCCTAGGAAGACTAATGGCCAAACAGAGTACAATGATTTTCTAAGATAATTAAGCCTGGACCCTTCCACATATTTTCTTCTGACCTCTGGACAAATCATTGCAGACCCAAACACAAAGCCACCTACTCCAAAATCCATTGCCCCTGTCCCATAGAGCTCAGTTTTAGCAAATCTTCTGGGGAAAATTGGAAAGTCCACAGCCAAAATAGCAATAGCAGTAAATACACTGTTAACTACACGGTAACAGGAGATGGCTGGAGTATATTCTGATTCAAGGCTAATTTTCAAGAACTTTTCAAAGATTTTCTGGAAAGGGACTCTGGCACAGCATGTCCTCCTCTGGTATATTTGATAGAACAGCCCTGTTCCACAGATGAGTGCAATGAGATAATTAAAGCTGATAAATGAAGCCATAATTGTAAGAGTGAACATCATGGGAAATACTAGGACAACCAAGTCAATGAGGAATTGAGTTCTCCAGGTATGTGAGAAAGAACACAAATGATGTAAAAAAATAATCAGGAGACCTCTGCACAGGATACAGAATGCAGGAAAGCTCAAGCCCAATGTTAATTCCAGTACACTAGTTCCATTGAGATTACTGACAAAAGCTTCCTTCATCTGCTTTTGAGACATTTTTTTTTCTTCCTGTGAAAACAAGAGCAGAGAAATGGATTTGTAGTAAATACCATTCTTTTGGAGTTGGTCTATGTATGCATCTGACTTGACTTTACTTTTTTTTCAGTGATGGGGTTTGAACGCTGGGCCTGGAGCATTGTCCCTAAGCTCTTCAGTACAACGCAAGCGCTTTACCACTTAAGCAACAGAGCCACTTCCAGTTTTCTGGTAGCTTATTGGAAATAAGAGTCTCACAGCCTTTCCTGCCCAGGCTGGCTTTGAACCTTGATCCTCAGATCTTAGCCTCCTGAGTAGCTAGGATAACAGGTATAAGCCACCAGCACCCGGCACTCTTATTTTTAAGTTTCAGAACAGAACTAACTTTAAGCTTTAGTGACTTCAAATTAGGGGCAGAACCAACTAGACCTTGTGATTCTCCTTCCTTGAATTGTGCAGAGAAGCTGACACTGATTCAGCAGGGTGGGCAAAAATATGAAATTCCTGGCAGGAAACTTTATTTGTGTATGTGTGTGTGCAGGTCCTAGAGCTTGAAATCAGGGCCTCCAGGGCTTGGGCACTGTCCTTGAGCTTCTGTTGCTCAAAGTTAGCATTCTACCACCAGAGCCACAGTTCTACTTCTAGGTTTTTTTGTTTTGTTTTGTTTTTGTAGTTTAGTGGAGATAAGAGTCTCATTAGCCCGGTGCTGGTCGCTTATGCCTGTAATCCCTGTTACTCAGGAGGCTGAGATCTGAGGATCCTAGTTTGAAGTCAGTGCAGGCAGAAAAATCTGTGAGACTCTTATCTCCAATTATATCACAGAAAAAGCTGGAACTGCACTGTTGCTCAAGTAGTAAAGTGCTAGCCTTGAGCAAAAAGAATTCAGGGACAGTAAGCAGGGCCAGAGCACCAGAAAGAAAAAAAGAAGTCTCACAAACTAGTGCTGGTGGCTCAAGACTGTAATCCTAGCTACTCAGGAGTCTGAGATCAGGATTGCAATTTGAAGTCAGCCTGGTCAGGAAAGTCTGTGAGACTTTTTTTTTTTTTTTGGGTCGGTCATGGGGTTTGAACACTGGGCCTGGGCGCTGTCCCTCAGCTCTTCAGCTCAAGGCAAGCGCTCTACCACTTGAGCTTCTGCTGGTTTATTAGAGATAAGAGTCTCACAGGCTTTTCCTGCCCGGGCTGGCTTTGAACCATGACCTCAGATCTCAGCCTCCTTAGTAGCTAGGATTACAGGTGTGAGCCAATGGGGCTCAGCAAGACTCTAATCTCTAATTAAATCACACACACTCTCTCTCAATCTCTTACACAGATACAGAGACACAGACAGACAGACACACACACACACACAAAACTGGATGGGCTAGAAATGTGGCTTAGTGGTAGAGTGCTTGCCTAGCATTCATGAAGCCCTGGGTTCAATTCCTCAGCACCACATAAACAGAAAAAGCCTTAAGTGGCACTGGGGCTCAAGTGGTAAAATGCTAGCCTTGAGCAAAACAAGCTCAGGGACAGTGCCTAGGCCCCAAGTTCAAGCCCCAGGACTGGCAAAAAAAAGGAGGAGCTCAAGGACAATGCCGAGGCCCAGAATTCAATCCTCAGGACAGACAAAACTGTCTCACAGTCTTTGCTATTGAGATGGCTTCAAATCTCAATCCTCAGATCTCAGCCTCTGACAGGAAGTTCTTTGCCTATTTTCTCTCTCTCTTTTTTTTTCAGTCATGGAGTTTGAACTTTGGGCCTAAGGCTGTCTTCAGCTAAAGGCTAGCACTCTATCACCTGAGCCACAGTGCCACATTCAGTTTCCTGGTGGTTTATTGGAGGTAAAAGAGTTTCACAGCCTTTCTTGCCCAAGCTGGCTTTGAACCATGGTCCTCAGATCTCAGCCTCCTGAGTAGCTAGGATTACAGGTGTGAGCCACTGGCGCCTGGCCTGCCTATTTTCAGTAAAAGGCAAACTTATGAAGGTTTATTTGGGATCTAGACCTTGAGAATGACACTGCAGTCAGATAAGAATTTTTTTGGGGGGAGGGGCAGGGGAGTCCAGCCGTGAGGCCTGAACTCTGGGCCTGGGCGCTGTCCCTCAGCTCTTCAGCTCAAGGCTAGCGCTCTACCACTTCAGCCACAATGCCACTTCCAGCTTTTTTCTTCTTGCTTATGTGATGCTGAGGAATCGAACCCAGGGCCTCAGGCATGCAAGGCAAGCGCTCTACCACTGAGCTACCTTCCCAGCCCTCAGATAGGAATTTCTACTACAGCACCGTACTGTGTGTGTCATGTCATGAAAAACTTTAAGTGCTGTGGTACTTGGGCTTTAACTCAGGGCTTGCACACTGCCCTGAAAGTTTTTTGCTTAAGGGTGGAAGCTCTACCACTTGAACCACAGCTCCACTTCCCACTTTTTGGTGATTAATTGGAGATAAAGAGTATCATACTTTTCTGCCCAGGCTGGCTTTGAGCCTCGATTTTCAAGTCTCGGCCTACTGAATAAGGAGGACTTATAGGCATGAGCCACTGGTGCACTTGGCTACATAAAAGAGAATGGGATACATGATACAAAGGACTAAATCAAAACCCAGGAGGGGAGAGAGAGAAGCTTTCAGCACGATTTGAAGCGTGGGTCCTTGGTTTCTGTTCTGTGGGCTGAGGCCCACACCTTTACTTCCCTCATTATCAGGTTAACAGAATGAATGGATGGATAGCATACACGGCACATACCAGCGCTTGTAGCCTTTACAAACAAAAAAGAAGGTGTAAAACACCTCTCAGTCACGAATCAACGTCTGAAAAGTGGCCCGCTGCAAGAACCCATCGGTGTGTCAAACGGGAATGACCGATTTGGGCCCAGTAACTCTCTCTCACTGGAAGCAGCCTGAGTCGGTTGTCCTTTTTCCTGACACGCCATCACCTTCGCCACACCGGTCCAGGACCGTACGGGCGCCCCTGAATGGAGGACATCCGCGCGGACCTGGCAGACCGGGTCTCCACCTTACCGGCGGGGGCCGCCGCTTCCGTCTCTCGAGAAGCGCTTCCGGCCGGCAGCGGCGCAGCATGTTCTTCCGGGTCAGGGGTTCCCGCGCGACCCCGCCCGCGATGGCGCCTCTCCCCACCCCTCTGCCTCAGGCTCCGACGGCTTTTCTTTCTCTAGGTCGGCTGGTCCGGCCCAGAACCTCTAAGGTAGTAGCCGTAGACCCATTCGTGAAAGAGGCTTCCGGAGCGGGAAAGGCGCGTGACGTGCCCCCCCCACCCCGGTCGCGCCTACGACCCCACGGTGAGGCCTTGTGGAGATAAAGGGGCCCGAGGGGCCCGCGCAAGACTCGGCCACGGCGACCACCCCACGAGCCCTGGGTGCGCCCGGGGCCCCAAGAATCTGCCTCCCGCGCTTGTTCCCCAGGAACACCGGGGGCCGGAACACTGCCACTTACCCCAGCGTCTCAAACTACCCCAGCCCAATGCAGAGCCCCGGCCTGGCCTGGCCCGGCCCGGCGTCCGCGGCGGCCACGTGCGCCCCGCGCCGGCCGTGCGCGCCCCGCCCCAGGGGAGGAGCCGGCTGGCGCCTGTCCACTTAGCCCGAGCCTCGGCCGGCCGGGCTCAATCCAGCGGTCCTGCTCGCCCTCCTCCCCGCTTGCTCCAGCCCCGTCTCTTCCCTCCGCTCTCAGGCTCTTCCCGCCGCCTCCATCCATCGGCCCACCCATCCTTCCAGCCGTCCCCGGCCGGAACTGCACGCCCGGCTGCTCTTGCCCCGTGGGACCTGTGAGTGACACCCCCAGCGCAGAACCGAAGCCCTGCACGGCCCCGTCGGGGCAGGGAGGCCAGTTTGCCGGCAGCGCTAAGGTAGAAGGAGATATCTTTCTCCTCAATCGGCCTTTCTCTTTCCTTTTTCCTTTTTTCCCCCCTTTTTCTTTTGACCTTCACATGTCTCTGAAGGAGGTCGCCCAGTTCACAGTCCTTGCCCAGAACAAGGACCTTTCACGGTCACCCTTCACTTTGCGATCAGGGGGCCCGGGCTAGGAGATTTCGGCCAACAGAGTGGGTCCGACGTTCATTCATCCCTCTCAGCCCAACCCTGTAACCAAGGAGGAGGTGGCTGGCCCCGAGAGGCACCAAGCAACCGTGTCCTTGTCTGGGGTCATGTCCACCTTCCTGGGAAGGGCATATGCTGCCTGTGCCAGGTGCTTCCGGAGCGGCATCCCAGCTCTGGGCACCGCAGGCTTGTCACTCAAAAGGAGCCCCAGTTCCCGCCAGGAACCTGGGGTGGAGTCAGCTGGGCTTTTGGGACCCTTACCCAGCCCTTCCTCCAGTCTTATGCCAACAGTGCTTCCAGTCAAGAGTAAGGCTAAGAGGGGGGAGGAGGAGCTGGTGATCAGGTTGCCACTTGCCTTGACTGGGTGTTCCACCTATTCATTACTCTCTTCTTACTGTCGTCACACCCTTTCCAGAAATTCTTAGTGGTAATCGCGAAAAGACGGAGCAGGAGCTGAAGAAAACCACTCTGAGCTGACTTGACTTCAGCCGGAGCTGACGCTGCGTTGTATAATAACTAACATTTGCTAAGCACTCTCAGGTACTAGCCCATTTAAGCCTTAATTTAGCACTATGAGGTCTGATTATTACTCCATTTTGTAAATGCATAAAAAGTAAGGGCTCACTCCTGTAATCCTAACCACTCAGGAGGCTGAGGTCTGAGGAAGCAAGTATATACAGAAAGTACAGAAAGTACATGAGACTTTTAGCTCCAATTAACCAGCAAAAAGCCAGAAATAGAGATATAGCTCAAGTGGTGAGAACCAGCCTTGAGCTAAGGAACAGTAAGGAACAGTGTCAGACCCTGAGTTCAAGCCTGAACACACACAAATGTGCATACACACACATACACAAATCCTTAAACTTAGAGCTCTTGTGATCTGTGTATAAGAAGGTGAACCTAGAATCTAACTTAACACCTTGTTATGGTTCTCAATGGACTCCCTCCAATTGAGGGAGGTTTATTCTCCTTAAATCTCCAGAGATCTCTTCATGGTTTTTCCTTGGATAAGACAGTGTCCAGGCAACAGTCCTAACGCTATCTTCTGTCAGAAATTTCCAATTTCTATGCAAGTCCCTATCCTTAAGTTTCTTGAAGACTAGAAGTATCAAGAGCCTCAAGAATTAACTCTTCATCAAAGTTAATCCATTTACTCCTCGTTCTCAACTCTTCTTGCTAAGGGAAGTGTTGAGGATGACTTACTATTTTTCAGATTGGTCCAGGCCTCACAGCATCCTCTCTTTCAGATGGATTCCCCTTCCTTGAATCTCACCTTCCTGGAATTGACACTGGACTGACTGTTCCACCTAATTAATATCCTTATGTAAATGATCAACCCTTTGTTGTAGCGCTAACAATACTCATCTTCAGTGAATATTTAGGTTTGCACTTTCAAACCATAACCCTGTTGACCTTTACAAGCACTTTGTGAGGTAGATTTAAGTGTCCTAGCTTTCAAGGTGAGAACTAAAGTATGTGAAAAGGCTTTCCCAAGATTATAAAGGCAACAAATGACTTAAGCCATGATTTCCCTCCCACACAAAAACTTCCCTGGAACATCAAGAGTTGACTCCAGCCCAGCCCCCTTTCCACAACTACTAACTACACTGAAAGGGAATATTTCCATCTGTTGGAGAGGATGAGCCACAAAGTTATGTGTCTGCTCACTTTCTTCATCCTCCATGACATACTGACCCAGAAGACTTATAGCCCTGCCACACCCCAAATCTCAAAACTGTAATAAAACTGGCCCCAGTGTTTTACTGTAACCCAGGGAATCTCTGGAAGCTCTTCATCTAAATTTCTCCTGTTCCCTAATTAGCAAGGGAAAGGACAGACTCATGCTCTGTCCTGTTCATTTTGGTCTCTCCTGCTTGATGGGAGGAGTAAGAGTGAGTGAATCATCTGGAAAAGCCATCACCTGTGTATAGTCCTTTTCTTCTCTGCCATTCTGCAGGCTCTAGGATGACTGTTTTGAGACTCCTCCAGACCTGATCCATGGCCCTGACCAGGTAGATAGCACTCTTAGTACCAGCAATCCAGAACCCTGACTGACCACACTGAAGCAGGATGCTCCAGCAGGTAAAACCAACTTTACATAACCCAGGCCTTAAGCACCTGCGGCATTTTATTATCATTTGCTTTCCTGAATGAAGATCCTAGTGCTTTTAACTAGAAAGACAGGAAAGGCCCCTTAAAGGTCTTCCTTCCCTTTTGAAAGCCACTCCAGTGTTCTTGGTATCTAACTGAACCCCTTCTATTGTGATCTTAAATTCTTTTCCTTGACTATGTGAGGTGGAATAAGTGAGGGAATCCGTCAGACATTTTGGTGATCTTACAGAGAGTAAAGCCTAAGAGATGTCCCTGCCAGGTGTACAGTGAAAGCCTGGGTGTCCAAAAAGGAGTGCTCTTTGAAAATGAGCCTTAAAGATTGAAATGCTGGTCCCCCAATGGTGCTCACGCCTGTATACTTAGCTACTCAGGAGGCTGAGATCTGAGGATTGCAGTTCAAAGCCAGCCCAGGCAGGAAAGTCTGTGAAGACTCTTATCTCCAGTTAACCACCAGAAAACTAGAAGTGGTGCTGTGGCTCAAGTGGTAGAGCTCTCGCCTTGTACTGAAGATTTAAGGGACAATGCCCCAGGCCCAGAGTTCAAACCCCATGACCAAAAAAAAGAAAAAAGAAATTGGACTAGTGGAGAAGAAAAATAAGTAGTCTAGGCAAAGCAATCATTCTGTGCAAAACTGCAGGAATTGATCCATATGGTACAGAAGGATTATGATGAATGGATCATGGAATGCATGAAAGCTGCCTTATTTCAGGCTCTTGTCTCTCTGCAAGGCTACTGTCACCCCTGACCTGTAGTATTCCAAATCACCTTCACCCCAGAGTTCTACTTCAAACCTATATAATCCATCATATATAGATTCTGCTCTAGAGAAAACACTGGTATGCATTTGCTGAAATTTACTTGAACAAAGTGTTGCCTCATACTGAGAAGCAGATGTTAAATTGCCTTCAGGAATTTCTAGTCTATTGGAGACTTACATAGACAAGTACCTAAAACTCAACAGGATAATCAAATGTGGAAACTGCTAGCATCAAAAGAACTATGCTAGATATTGCCACTAGACCTTCCTGCTCTTTGGTTCATGACATAGTCTTGAAGGCTAGAGAGAAGCAGAGAGAGCAGTTGTCTACTCTGGGTTTTTTGTATTTACCTTTATTCTTTATTCTTATAATAAATTATTCTTTAATCCTATAATAAAAGTAACATTTCCCATAACTATACTAGTTACTACCCTGAATTGAATCCATGCTATATATAGCAGGCACTGTGCTCTGTGTAATTTTAACTAATCTTCCTAGCATCTCCATGAGAAATACAGTATTCTGGAAATAAGGCTCAGAAAGGTTAAATGACTGGTTCAAACTCACGTTTATTATCAGACATTTGGAAAGTAAAGATAAGAAAAAGCAACATTAAACTCATATTACCCAGCTAGAGGCATGACTCAAGTGATAGCAAGCATAGGCCCTGAATTCAAATCTCAGTTATACCAAAAAACAAAATAACTTGTTCTCAATTCTCTCTCTCTCTCTCTCTCTCTCTCTCTCTCTCTCTCTCTCTCTCTCTCTCTCTCTCTCTCTCCTCTCTCTCTCTGTTCCAGTCCTGGGGCTTGAACTCAGCAGTGCCTGGGCACTGTCCCTAAGCTTTTTTGCTCAAGGGTAGCACTCACTAGAGCTACAGCTCCATTTCCAGCTTTTTTGGTGCTTAATTGGACTTTCCTGCTTGAGCTAGCTTCAAATTTTGATCCTTAGATATCAACTTCCTGAGTAGTTAGGATTACAAGCATGAACAACCAGCGCTGAACTTACAGACATTCTTAGGGCCTTCATGTAGATCATTTTTGAGAAGCAGAATTGCAGACTTAAGACATGCATAGTTTTTTGTTTTTGCCAGTCCTGGGGCTTCAATTCAGGGCCTGGGCACTGAATCTCTTTGTACTCAAGTCTAGCACTCTACCAATTGAGCCACAGTGCCACCCATTCCTGGCATTTTCTGAGTGGTTTATTGGATAAGAGTCTCACAGCCAGGTGCTGG